AAAAAGAAAAAAAAGATCATGATTCTATAATAGTTACCTACAATTACATAATCTAGATACAAAATATGTTTCATTTTCATGCTTAAGTTTTTGTTAAGAAAAGATCTCTTTATGCCAGCAATCTATGATTTCAAATCTGTTCTTTCTCCTCCTGCAATGTGAAGAAAGGGGAGGTTTGAGCACAGGTCTGTACTCCAGGACAGGAGGCTTGCAGAGATGATAGCCACTGACACCAGTTCTTTCAGTCCATGAGGCTAAAGACTTTATTTCTGGTTCTGATATTCCATTATTTTCTTTCCACGTGACACCACAGAAATAACAGCCACAACTAGATAACTACAGGGGACAAAGTGGTATGAATAAAAATAAAAGGCTCAGGGGCCAACCCAAGGCTTACCGTGTGCTCTTAGAACAGTGTTACCTCTGATTACTAAAGCAAACTTAATGCCCCATACTATGGCTTGAATGTGCCCCACAAAAGTTCATGTGTTGGAAACTTGATCCCCAAATGTTATCTGAAGGTGAGGTCTTTGGAAGGTAATTAGAATTAGATGAGGTCATGATGGTGGAGCTCCCATGAAGGGATTAGTGGCTTTCTTAAAAAAAGGAAGAGACACCTGAGCTAGAACACTTGCTCTGTCTGACCATGTGATGCCTCCACAATGTTATGAAGCAGCACAAGGTCCTTACCAGAGACCAAGTGGAGGCTGACACCATAATTTGGACTTCCAAGCCTACAGAACTGTGAGCACAATAAACTTCCATACTTTATAAATTACCATTCTCAAGTTTTTTGTTACAGCATAGAAAATGAATTAAAACATATTATTTCTTAAGGCTGATACTGATGGATATTAATGTGTTATGATACTAATTATCTTCCTTTTGGCTATTATTATTTGCTTTCTTGAGACAGGATCTCACTATATAGCCCAGGCTAGCCTCAAATTATGCATCCTCCTGCCTCAGCCTCCTGTGTGCTGGAGTTACAGGTGTGCACCACCACCCCCAGCTTGTATTTATATTATTAAATTGCTTACTTCATGACCACTTTCACAGAGGAATAAGTATTATATGTCTTTTAACTCAGGTATACAATAAGAAGCTGGCTCTCTCACTGATCCCTCCCCCACCACCAATATCAACTTTATACTTGAATCACTTGGTCAATAGAATTGAAGAAGCCTCCTTGTATTGTGGGGTGACAAAGATAAATCCTAACAGAAGTTTAGTAAAAGCAAAGTGAAGCTATTTTTCCTTGTGTCTCTATTAACACCCTCCATCACAAAAATTTTGTTAAGAAATGACATTCTTTATTCAATCACAAATCAATTATGTAATCCCAAACATTTAAGCAAAAACAGCTTCCCATGTCATTGATTATAAACGTTTTTTTTTTACACTTAAGAACGTTCTCAAAGGTCCCATTTTCTCTCATATGTGGAAGATAGGTTCAATATAAAATTAAGCATTATCATATATACAGAACATGTTTCCACAAGTGGGACTGTTAGAGGAGACTAAGGGAGGAGGAAAAAGAAGAAAAAAATGAGAGAGTGAAAAATAAGGAAAGACATTATATCTGCGTAGGAGCAAGACACAATGAAACACATTGAAAAATGTTGAACAACACAGGATAGGGAGAAAGGGATGAAGAACAGTAATAGAGGGGATTAGACTGATTAAAGTATTTATTTACAGGTAAAATACTAAGGCAAAATCCCCACTGAAAAATGAACAGATAAGTAAAAAATGAAAGACAAGCATGTAAAATGGGCACAACTGAGAGGCGGAGAGTAAACAAAGAGGGTATAGGAGGGTGAATATGGTTGGTGTACTTTCTATACAAGTATGACTATAGAACACTGAAATCTGTTGAAGTTACTTTAAGAAGGGGAATAGGGTAGGAGGGAAAATAATGGAGGGGATGAACCATACATATAATATATATAGAAACTGTCATAATAAAACCTCCTATACAACTATCACACACTAATAAAAATATTTTTAAGAAGTTAAGATAGTGTCACATTTTAAAAAAGAGAACTATTCTTCCCCTTGGTATAAAATAGTTTACTTCTTTATTTCATTTTAATTCACTATATTTCAGGAGGTTTCTTATTTTGTAGCAATTCTAACAATTCTGATGAGAAATAGGTCTCAGTAAACATCCAACTGTAGATGATTTTGATTTCCTTATCCAAATTATTTTTGAAAATATTTAGTGACATTTTCTTATACAAAATGTTAGTGATGGCAAAGAAAATGTCACATCGCTAATATTCTATGCAATGATCTTGACAAAGAACAATACTTTAATAATACTTAATATTGGTTAATATATGATTAAATTACTACACTGAAAAGTCAATAACTTTTACAACATACTAATTTTAAGTTAAAATCAAAAGGCCACTGTGGGATCTAATATATTTTGCATATTTTCTAAAAAAGTAGAAAATACTTCTACCCAAGAATTTAAAAATAGTTAATTACAGGATATCCTTCAAAAGAACACTAATGCAAGATTTAAAACACTTGAAAAAAACAGAGGGGAAAGAAACAAACAAAAAAGCTTAGAGTATAATAGAAAAAACAAACACAAAAGTAGAATTGAGATTACAATAGTGTTAAAGACCGAAAAGTAAAGGGTATAGAAAAAAGTGTAATAATTGTGTCGGGTGATAAAAATAGGAATTTTCTTTTTATTGATTCTATTCGCTTTTCATTTCATTCCTGTGTTCCCTAGTTACTTCTCCAATTATAAATGGGCCAAATAATAAGGAATGCTAACGGAAATAAAGTAGGATGTGATGGAACAAAAAAGGTGCTCGATTAAATAGGAAGTGCAAGTGCTTGTAAGTGTCACAGCTTTGTTTCAGCTCTGAAAATTGTCTTCAACAGAAATACCACCAGGTGCCTGCCTTATATATTTCATTTATATATGAAACTCTGGGGATCAATCCCAGGGCCTCAAGCATGCTTGGCAGATACTCCACTACTGAGCCACCTCCCCAGGCCCCTACACTTTATCCTAAGAGTCTCTACTACACCTTAATACACTAAGCTCTTCTCTGCACTCACTGGAGTTCAAAAAAGTTACCTTAACATACACAAAGAGGCTTTTTCCATACTACAGAAAACATGCTATTTCAGTAACCTAATTCTTAGGAATGAAATCTAAGATGAAGGCCAACATGGACCACATTCCACCTCTAAAACAGTTCTAACCAGTTTCCTTCCCCAACACAGCAGGATTATGTTTACAGAGAGAGTTAGCCTGACATAAAAAGATAACTCAGGAGTCGCATATTCATTTCACTCCTTAAACCAAGAGAAATCAAAATGTAAACAAATAGTGAAAACAAGCTAATGTTACCAAACATTCATGTTCAGTTTGTTTAAAGATTATTAAATTTGCTAGTGGAGTGAGGACTTTGCAGTAGAAAACAAGTCATTACACTGAGAACATAATATGAGATCCTGTTAATAGTAAATTAAGGAAGGGGAAACCCATTATAAAACTCAATACAGATGCCAATTACTCATATAAACTTTTTCTATGAGCATACTACATATAAATTTTTTAAGTTAATAAAGCCCTTTTTTTTTTTTTTTTTAAGGATCATTGGTGAGCTTCCTATACAGTTTGGGCAGAATGGTGGAAAGGAAGAAGTACCATTGTACCACTGGTAAACAAATCCTGATTGGATGTCAACTACATTAGGGCATTTTGAACAGTGATAGCTACAAAGAGTAAGAGAAACTGGACTTTTCAGAGCTGATTGGCCGCCAGGAAAAATTGCGTGCCAGGATACAAGGGAAAGATTCTTTCAGTAGGGCAATCAACAAACATTTATTGGATGTTTACTGTGCATCAGGTGTTGTTGAGGTTGCAGAAACATGGAGTTTTAAAGGGACTGAAAAGCTGTCCTCATGAGGGTAATAATTTAAATAACAATGTGACTTTACTCAAAGAATGGTATAAGTAAATCTAAAATTCTAACTCTAAACCTAAAATCGTAACTGTGTGCTAAGTTAAGGCTTCAAACGACAGATGCGAAGTGAGCAGAAGGAACACAGAACAAATCACAGAGAGGACCATGCAGAGTGGTTAGAGAAAGCTCAGCAGAACATGTCGTGTTGTTGCTGAGCCTCGGGAGTGAGGATAGCAGAGCTGGGACATTCCAAAAAAGGCACCTATGCACCAGGAGATGACAAGTACTTAGTGGAAAATTGTAATGATATGAAGACAGACGGTAACAGACAAACTCCCTAACTATAGCTTTTTATTTCCCCTCCCTCTCTCTGTCCAGATGGAGGCTATACTCAGGTTTGAGCTGAGAGCCTCCCACTCACTAAGCAAGAGCTCTACCACTTGAATTACACTCCCAGGCCTTTTTTGGCTGTAGTTATTTTTCAGATAGGGTCTCACACTTTTTTCCTGAGCAGCCCTCAGACTTCACTTACTGTGTAGCTGGGATCACAGGCCTGAGCCACCATGCTCTGCCTCAGGGTTTCATGTTTGTGAGGCAGGAGCTCTACTGCTTGATAAATACCTCCAGCTGTTTTTGCTCTGGTTATTTTGGAGATGGGGTCTTGCTTTTTTCCCTAAGCTGGCCTGGACCTCACTACTATTTTAAGCTTCCCACTATCGCTGAGATGATAGGCTTGCATCACCATACCCAGCTATTACTTGATATAGTTTCTTCTAAACTCTCTGCCCAGGCTGGCCTGGGACCACAATCCTCCCAATCTCAGCCTCCCAAGTAATTAGGATTACAGGTAAGAGCCACTGGCACTAAGATACTAATCTCTTTCTTAATGAGAAAATCTACAACATGTTTTTGTGGTACAGTGAAAAGTTACACAGGCATAACAAAATTTCAGAGGCAATAAAGACAGTCTGTTTAGGACAGTCATAAATAACCTAGAAATAGGAAATAAAATGTAGAGCTATGATGTAAATTGCATAAGATTTTCATTTAGTCTACCCTTACCCCGATTATGCTCAGTCCTTTGAGGTAGTCCTGACGAGGCTGGGCTTGAGGCACACATCCTGCTAGCACTACTTTCTTGTTCTCCTCTTGAGCTTTTCTAGAAGAATGAAGAAAAGAACAATGTGAAGTCTCTTGCTCCCAAGTATACCCTTGGAAACTGTTTTTGGTGCACTTAAGTCCTCCAGATAATTAAAAGCCAGTTAATTAACATAAACCAGGAGCTTCTTACAACTGCTTAAAGAAAATATGTTATAAGACTTCTGCACTGTATGTCTATTCATCGTACCACTAGCAAACATGTTAGCAGTTCAATCTGACAGTGTCTCCCGTGATCATCTCATTACAAAACAAAACAACAGCACAGAATTTACACGGATATGAATCATTCTGGAGAACCACATTGTTCAGATAGACAGAATAACCCTGCAAACAAGTTACTAGTTTTAAATGTTAATGAAAATGTGCCTTAAACTTTAAATACTCTTTCCTAGTCTTTTGATCAATGTGCAAACAAAATTAATTTTTAAAAAATTTAACTGAAGGCATAATATTTCATATCCCACCTTCCCCAATAGCCCACTTATTCCTGCTCCCTAGACAACTTACAGTTATAGACTGCTTCTGCTTATTGGCACACTCCAGACCATCCCTCACATGTGCAGAAAAAAAACATTTAAACAGACCTGTATGAGATATACACATGTGTGTACACACACATACATACACATGCACACACAAATATCTGAGAAAGTATTTCTGAAATATACAAACCTAGATGTGAAATCTATGTTCAGTAATATAATTTATTTACCGCGTACATTGTTATGGTTTGGATCTAAACTGTTCCCCAAAGGCTCAAGCCCTGAAGGCTTGGTCCCTGATGTGACAATGTCCACAGGTGGGGGCTTCTGGGAAATGAATGAATCATGAGGACTCTGGCATTGTGGGTGGGTCAATCCCTTGATGGCTTCATAATATCATAGACTATTGTGAGATGATGGAAACCTAAGAGATGGGACCCAGTTGAAGGTAGTGAGTCCTTGAGGGTTTGACCTTGGAATCTATATCTTGTCCTCAGTCTCTCTCTTTCCTTCCCTCTTTTGCTTCCCTCTACCCACTCTCTCCCAATGTCTGTTTGTCCGTCTCTCTGCACCCCTACACACATCCTGGCCACCGTGAGGTGAGCAGTTTTACTCTATCACCCTCTTCCACCTTCAACCTTGCTGCCAATAAACTGTGGACTGAAACCATGATACCAAACAAATCTTTCCTCCTTTAATTCTAAGATACTTTGCTACATTGAATGAAAGTTAATACAGATAAATTCTAAGTAAAAATGATAGTTTAGAGGTGTACATATCTAGCTATTCAGTAGTTCTTTACTGAAGATTTAGGTAAATATTCATTTGTTCAGGCATATATTTATACAGCAACACTGATTTTTGTAACCAAAAATGCAGAGGTTTTATCTTTTCCTACAAATTATTCATATTCTTTTCCAATCTTACAATTAAGTTTTCAAAATTCAATATATGAATTTCCCAAATGTATGACTTTAGGGTGTTTTGACAATTTGTTTACTTTGAGTCCTTCAGGGCTGCATTTATGCACAAAACTGAGTCCCTTGCTACCCTACCAATCTCCAGGCTTCCAAAATCCACTGAGAAAGCTGAGGGTATCTGCAGCCCAGTTTCTGAACTTGTGACTTCAGACCAGTCTACCATCAAGTGAAGAGTCTCTATACCTGGCACACTTTCTCTTCTATGTCAACACCTTCAAGAGCACACATTCAGAACTGGAAGCCAAGAAAAAACTGGAATTAGCAAGTCTAGGTCTTTGTGATAAGAGCAACGTCAAAATCTTCTGGAAAGTACAAAGAGAAGGATTAAATGAATAAACAGACAGTACTAATTACTAGTTTAAATCACCTGTAAATGTTTATTCCAGTGACTTCTTAGAGCACTTTGATGTAATTTTCTCACTTAGAGTCCTGAAAACACTTGTTAATGAACTTTTTTAAATCTCAGTTTGGTAGAATGCATAATACATCCAAGAGAATTACTACCTAGCTCTGCCACCTGGCTTTACTTTTTTATCAGTACTAAGCACATCACTGCACACAAATGCTTTTCTTATAGTAAATGTGTAACATGTTATCAAATGAAAAAATATTTCCATTTTCATTAACAATCTCTCCAAGGAAGTTAACAGTTAGTTTTTTCCAAAAAAATTTGCTACAGCACCTAGAACCACTATCAATAAACATCTAAGAGAGACTGTGAGATCACTAATAAACTCAAATAAAAAGCCTGCTTCCTATAAAATGAAGTAATTCAATTACTTAATTATTATACACATTGAAGACATTATAGTGAGTGCATAGAGCACCCAGAAATGAGGAAGACCAGCGACTTGCACTTCACAAACTTATGGTTTATGGTTTATATATTGGATGAGATGTAAAAGACCAAAACAACACAGCATCAAGTAAAATGCTTTTAGTGAAAGAGAGATACAGAGGTAATATACTATGAAGGGGAAAAGAACGTACAAGCAGAACAAGACAGGAGAAGGCTTCATTAAGAAATTTGGGAGAAGGATTTCCAAGATGGCGGCTACAGGGAAGAAGCAGAAAGCATGTCTCCTAAAGTGAAATCTTGGAGAAATGCTGGAGACACACCTTGCAGGCAAGGCCACTGAGAAGAGGCAAAAATTTGACCCCTCCACACCTCCAGCCTGCGCAGAGCATCTCCACTTCATATTGAATGGAGAAACCAGGAGGGCCCCCGGGCCACCGGCAGTCACCCGTGCCGAGACGGCTTGGGAAGACCCAGACAATATGAGCTAAGCCATACGCGGTACTCCCACAGACAACCCTGGGCCAGATCAGCATAGCCCCCTGGACAGACCAACCCCCACCCAGGGAAAAAAGAGAAACTGAGTAATAAGCAATAAGAACAATAAAGACATGTGGGAAAGAGGGTGGGGCACCCTGAGCACCAAAGACAGGGGGAGGGGAATCCCTCCCAGAAGTGTAAATAAACAAGCCAGGCCTGGCCAGAGAGGGCAGAAGTGCCCAGCAACCAGGAGTGGGAAAGCTTGTGAGAGTAGTAGAGGGAGGAAAACTCCACAGGAGAGGAAGGAAGACCCACTTCCCACGTGAACTGTAAACAAACACGCCTGCCAGCAGGAGCAGCAGCACACGCCCAGCAATCAGGAGCAGGAAAGCTTGTAAAAGCATCGGTGGGAGGAAAACTCCACAGGATAGGGGGAAAGACCCACTTCCAACTTGAACTGTAAATAAACACGCAGGCCTGAGACAGGGGGTTCAGTGTCACCTCCCCCAGTGTGCTTGGAAAAGGGAAAGTTTGTAGCAGTGGCATCATGCACAGAACTCTGAGTAAACAAAGCCTGCAGGGCTAGGTGAGTGCTAAGTTCACCCCAGAGATCTGCATAAATAACGCCTTCAACAACAGCAGGTTGACAGCAGCAGGCAGGCAAGCCACAGCCACAGATAGCCATTCACAGACCTGTCTCCAGACTCTTTTTTTTCTCTCTCCCTACCTTTGATGAGACAACAACTGAACTACAACTGCATGCTGAAAAACTTACTGAAACGGTATTGCATTTAGACTTGGGACACTTTGTGGGTTTGGTTTTTTTTTTTTTTCCTTATGTTACTCCTTTGATGAGACAACTACAGAACAACATCTGAGGCACCATCTCCAGGATTGGTGGCTGAGGGATGAAACCAAAATTATTAAGACTGAAATTTCATTGCATTTGAACTTGGAGGTTTTTTTTTTTAATTTTATTTATTTTTTTATTTTATATTTTATTTTTTTATATATACATATGTTTCTTTCATTTACTTATTTTTAATTTTTATTCTTTTTATTTTTTATTTTCAATCCTCTGTCTCTCCAATGCCTTTTCAGCTTACTGTTGATTAGTACACTGTCTCTCCCTGTTTATATCTTTGAAACCTTTTTTGTTTGCTTATTTTGGTTTTTTTTTCTACTTATTTGTTTTTCCCTTTTCCTTTAACTTCTTTGCTTTCCATCCCTTCTCACCCTTCCATTCTAAATATCACTAGTGCTATTACTACAGCCAGAAAATACTTAATTGCACACAGTACAGGGACAATAACAACACCAAGGGCAATGACAGGAAGACAGAAAAAACAGGAAAACCAGTTTCCCCACAGCAAAAAATTAGTACAGGAACCACAGGGAAATGAAGAAAACAGATACTCAGATCCAGACTCCAACAAAATGAAGATAAACTATACCAAAGAACCCAATGAAGCCCACAAGAATAATTTAAAAGAAGAAATACTACAGGTAATCAATGAGTATTTTATAGAGATGATACTGGATATGGTCAACCAAAATGTACAGGAGACACTCAAGAAATTCCAAAACAACAAAAATAGAGAATTTGAAAAAGCAAAAGAAGAAATAAAGGAAACGATAGAAGCACTGTATAAACACAAAACTGAAACAGAGAACACGATTAATAAACAGATAAATGAACTCAGGACAAAAACAGACAACATCAAAATTGAAAAGACCCAGGATAAAAGCGAGAGCACACAAGGGAGATATGAGGATAGGTAAGACACCTTAAAAATTAGCTAGCATTTGTTGCCCTCAAGGCAGAGAAACTAAAGCAGATACCTTAAAAGCAACTGAGGCCAATAGGAGAAGGGGACCAGGAACTATTAGATCAAAAAGAATTAACCTAGAAGGTAACACACATGCACAGGAAATCAATGTGAGCCAACTTCCTGTATAGCTATCCTTATCTCAACTACCAAAAACCCTTGGTCCTTCCTATTATTGCTTATACTCTTTTCTTCAACAAAATTAGAGCTAAGGGCAAAATAGTTTCTTCAGGGTAGCGAAGGGGGGGGAGAGGGAGAGGGTGGGGTGGGTAATAAAGGAGGGGGTGAAGGCAGGTGGGAGAAATGACCCAAGCATTGTATGCACATATGAATAATAAAAAAAAATTTAAAAAAAAAGAAATTTGGGAGGCTTTTTATTAGCAGACAGGAGTAGGAGTGAGGCTTAAAAAAAAAAGCTCTAGGCAATTGCA